TGACTTCCAGTTTGCAGGACACGGCGGCCTCTCCCTGTTCATTCTTGGCTCTGCAGGTGTACACACCACCATCAAAGCTGCAGGGTTTACGGATCTCGAGGGAGCAAATACCCTGTTTGGAAATCTGACGAAACTTGGGGTCGTTACCAATGATCATTTGGTTCTTTAACCACTCAATCTTTGGCTGGAAGGAGAGAAGACATTCATAAATATTTACTAACGTTTCCATTTCTTAATTTTTCCTTTTTATTAAGACTTTGAAAATCCACCAGTTCCTGTTCTGTTCTGAAACCACTTCAGTTGTAAAGATTGCTAAAACAGCTTTAAATCCAAACATTGCACTCAATAACAAGGTTTAGAAGTTCTCCTCTGAAATGAGGTTTAAGGACTTGTTAATCTATTTTAAGTCTCTATTCCTTACTGGCAAATTTCTTGCTTCCCCTGCAGTTCTGTCCATTTCTGCGTTCCCATTCGGTCAATAATAAAATCCTCAATTTCTATGTCACTCCTTTCTTTAGAAAACTTTAAAGACCCAAAATGATTAGCATTTCAAACACAATGCAAACTTTCAGCATGTGTTCAAGCTGTGGTTCATAGCATGCTAACAGCATACTGGCTAGCTGATGTGGATTTATCTCCTACTTCCATGCCAGGTTGTCTCTGACACTGATGAAGAAAGTAAGCTGCAGTATGGACAGTTTACAAAAATAGGACCCACTGTGATAGATCAATGTAGCCCTACAGACAAGAGAGTACATCAAGCTTAGGCTCTTATCCGTTTGCTCCTTTCTCAGTGTCTAATGTTAGACACTGTCTATGTGTGACAAAGATTCATCAAAGACAGAAGGAAACCTTATCAGGTTTCTGGACAAATCTTTCTGTTGGACATCCTCAGCTCCTCCTCAAAAGTCATGCTAGAGAAGGAAGAAGGTTCATGAGCTGAGGCTAAGCACATAAACAACAAAGAATAAAAATGAATAACTTTATAAAGTCCTAGCTGTTCTGAAAACATTTATTAGTAAAATATTTTCAAATAATTTCTCTTTTTTACAGCTTCTCGTCATCCTTGGAGGTCAAACTTGAGATTGATTCATCTCGTCCACACCGACACATGCAGACCATCCATTCACTGCTGTGTTTGGACTTCCACCAAGGACATCATGTACGAACAATCAACAGCATTTCCACCCTGGCTTTCTATCTAATCTGTCTGCTGAACAACTGTAAAGATAAGTTTAACAAGAGCTGCAGCTGCCAAGAAAGTTGAGAAACATGCCACATTTTAGACAAGCTCTGTCTGGAATCCACACGGGATCTGTTCAGGAACGGGTGTTACTGCTTCCAGACACATGGCACCACCATTTGTGTTTATGTGGTTAGAAATGGTGAAATGAATAGCATCTTGAATCACTAAACATTTGTCTTGTGCTGACTGGGTGACTGACCTTGGGAGAACCACGAACAGAACAAAGCAGCTTGGTTGTGTATCCAACAGTGGCCGCATGGTCGATAAGGGGTGTGGTGAATTTAGGACCCTCTCTGAAGTCATGCTCCTGGTACTCAGGAGGCTTGTACACAATACCTGTATTACACACAATTACAAAACCCTAATGCAAAGTCTTTATTGTTTACATTTGATAACAACAAAACACACCCATTGCTTATTTTTCCATAAGAAACTTAACGGTGTGTTAAGGTCATGCTACATTTTTGCATGACAGTCGTAACTAAACGTGGCAATAAAGCTGAATCCAAAAATCACACGACGTTGTAAAAGAAGAACAAGGAGCAGCATTGTCTCGTTTTAGCCAAGATGCTATCCATGCTTGTGAGTCAGCACACATCGAATGTTTAAGCAACTGCTCGATGTATGTTAGCCAAAATTAATGAATCTTAACTAACATTTACGCCAATGCTATACCATTAAGCCTAAACTAACTAACATGTAAGCCAAGACAATTTCAAGCATTTCTCCAACTACAGCTTTGATCTTCACACATCCTTCAACCCTCCTAGTGTCCTAATAGGTGTGACCCCGTGAGCAAAGTTGACCATTGAGCAGGGTTGATGGTTTGTCCCTTGGGTCCATGTGGCAGGGGTGAGGAGTGAGCACCACCTCACCCCTGCCACATGGACCTCAAGGGATAAACCACCAGTCCTGCTCAATGGTCAACTTTCCTCACGGGGTCACCCATAAAGACAGTGGGAGGGTTAAGACTTTTGGTGTTGTTGCTGATTTATTAGATTTCTTCATCTTCCTCAAAAATGGGTAATTTAAGCAGTTGTAGGTTAACCATGAGTGACACTAACTCTAACCTTATAGAAAATGGCTCACAGTTACAGCGAGGAAAAGCCAACTGACCATATTTGTATTAAGAGTTACTGTTAACTAATATTTATCCAACGCTACGCTACACCACCAATAAACAGCTGGCTGAATGGTTTTGATTGCTGGAAACCAACATAAGAATCTCAATGAAGATTCTATGTGTTATTTCTCTATTTAAAAGGCATTTTGCTAGGATAAAATTGTAGAATGCAATCAATTATTATCCATCAATACTTTCAATGTACAGTGCATGAGTTCCAGGTTGCACCATGTATGCTTAGACAAACCGTCAACAATGAAGAAGAGTCTCAATGTCTTCACTGGCCAAGATTTATTCACCAGGGTTTAAGGCAATGCCAAGGTTGTTTTCACTCCTTAAGTACTCACTTCGTCCCCTAACTGCCTGTCATTATGTTAAGTAAATATAAAAATATACAACTTCTTTCATAATACATTTAACCCTCCCACTGTTCTAATGGGTGTGACCCCACGAGGAAAGTTGACCATTGAGCAGGGTTGATGGTTTATCCCTTGGGTCCATGTGGCAGGGGTGAGGAGTGAGCACCACCTCACCCCGCCACATGGACCTCAAGGGATAAACCATCAATCATGCTCAATGATCAACTTTCCTCGCGACCACCTCACCCATAAAGACAGTGGGAGGGCTAATTAATTACATGTGAAAAGAAACTTGTCCAGACGGACAATAATTGTACTACATGAATCATGAAGGTCACCTGTCTTCTGGATGGTGGCCACCTCCTTGGTGACACCAGCCATTTCACTCTTCCCCACTTGGTTCTCAGCAAACACCCTGAAGGTGTAGGAGTTGCCCATGATGAGGTCTGAGACAGTGGCAGTCAGTCTGTGGTAGTGCTCCAGCACTGTGAACCACTCCTGCAGGTGGACACACAACTATTTTTCATGCATGTAAAATAAAACTGTAATATACTGCATTTAATCCATCATAACATTTTTGTATCCTTCATGAGCAATTGCTTTATTTTTCTAATATTCCTAATCTTAGCTACTGTAATGGATACGTTTTACAGTCAGGTCCATAAATATTGGGACCTCAAAACAATGCTAACATTTTTGGCTCTACACACCACCACAATGTATATCAAATGAAATGAACAAGATGTGCTTTAACTGCAGACTGTCAGCTTTTTTTTTGAGGTATTTACATCCAAATCAGGAGAACGGTGTAGGAATGACAACAGTTTGCATATGTGCCTCCCACTTGTTAAGGGACCAAAAGTAATGAGACAGAATAAAGAACCATAAATCAAACGTATACATTTCAATACTTGGTTGCAAATTCTTTGCAGTCAATTACAGCCTGAAGTCTGGAACACATAGACATCACCAGACGTTGGGTTTCATCCCTGGTGATGTTCTGCCAGGCCTCTATGGCAACAGTCTTCAGTTCCTGCTTGTTCCCGGGGCATTTTCCCTTCAGTTTAGTCTTCAGCAAGTGAAATGCATGCTCAATCGGATTCAGGTCAGGTGATTGACTTGGCCATTGCAAAACAGTCCAATTCTTTCCCTTCAAAAACTCTTTGGTTGCTTTTGCAGTATGCTTTGGGTCATTGTCCATCTGCACTGTGAAGCACCATCCAATGAGTTCTGAGGCATTTGGCTGAGTATGAGCAAATATTGCCTGAAACACTTCAGAATTCATCGTGCTGCTTTTGTCAGCAGTCACATCATCAATAAATACAAGAGAACCAGTTCCACTGGCAGCCATACATGCCCACGCCATGACACTTCCAGCACCATGCTTCACTGATGAGGTGGTATGCTTATGATCATGAGCAGTTCCTTTCCATCTCCATACTCTTCTCTTCCCATCACTCTGGTACAAGTTGATCTTGCTCTCATCTGTCCATAGGATGTTGTTCCAGAACTGTGAAGGCTTTTTTAGATGTTGTTTGGCAAACTCTAATCTGGCCTTCCTGTTTTTGGGGCTCACCAATTATTTACATCTTGTGGTGAACCCTCTCTATTCACATTGGTGGAGTCTTCTCTTGATTGTTGACTTTGACACAGATACACCTACCTCCTGGGTGTTCTTGATCTGGCCAACTGTTGTGAAGGGTGTTTTCTTCACCAGGGAAATGATTCTTCGGTCATCCGCCACAGTTGTTTTCCGTGGTCTTCTGGGTCTTTTGGTGTTGTTGAGCTCACTGGTGCGTTCCTTCTTTTTGGGAATGTTCCAAACTGTTGTTTTGGCCACACCTAATGTTTTTGCTATCTCTCTGATAGGTTTCTTTTGTTTTTTCAGCCTAATGATGGCTTGCTTCACTGATGGTGACAGCTCTTTGGATCTCATCTTGACAGTTGACAGCAACAGATTCCAAATGCAAATAGCACACTTGAAATGAACTCTGGACCTTTTATCTGCTCATTGTAATTGGGATAATGAGGGAATAACACACCTGGTCATGGAACAGTTGAAAAGCCGACTGTCCCATTACTTTTGGTCCCTTAACAAGTGGGAGGCACATATGCAAACTGTTGTAATTCCTACACCGTTCACCTGATTTGGATGTATATACCCTCAAATAAAAGCTGACAGTCTGCAGTTAAAGCACATCTAGTTAGATTCATTTGATATCCATTGTGGTGGTGTATAGAGCCAAAAATGTTAGCAGTGTGTCGATGTCCCAATATTTATGGACCTGACTGTATTTAGCCCTCATTATTTGGCTCCAGACTCCTACCATTCTCTCTGAGATAATGCTGTAAAAAGGCCTTCCTTTTGTTCTCTCCCTTGGGGGGTGGTGGTTAAAGGGGGATAAAAAGAAGCGGCTGCTTTGGGAAGAGCTTGTGACTGCCTCCTCATTTCAATTTTGCAATATTGAAATTAACCCCTTTTGATTGAATCGTGGACTGCTTTCTCATTATTTTATTAAGTCTCTAAAATGAATTCCTCAACACTGTGTTTGCTCTACTTTTTAGAATCGGTGCCCTACCCCTGTCTTCTGGTCAGCCTTCTGAACAGAGTATCCAGTGATCTCCGTGTTGCCGTTATCTTTTGGGGGAGTCCACTCCAGAGCAGCGTTGAAGCCCCAAGAATCTACCAACTTCACACTTGCAGGAGGACCAGGAAGCTCTGATGACACAAATTTCTGCTAATTTTAGAAAAAGGTTTGAAATCCTAACATTGTTCCTCATGGTGAAAGCAGCCGTGAGCAGAACCACTCAGGATCAAGTGATATATTGTTTCAAAACCACCTTTTTTGCATCCATACTCACCGACAATCTGAAGGGTGATGGTAGCGTTGTCTTCAAGGCTGTCCACTTTCAGCGTCATCTTGTAAACACCCGAGTCCTCCCTCTGAGAGCTGCGTATAAACAAGATGCTGTCCCTGTCACTGTTCCTGATGTTGACTCGTTTTGTGTCCACAGGCTGACCATCTTTCAGCCAGGACACGGCAGGATTAGGTTTTCCCTAAGGATTAAAAAAGTTTAATGCACATATGAAATGTATATTTTTGCGTTTTCAATAACTTTTTATGGGTGTTTTTCTTACAACAAATGGGATGACAAGGTTGATCTGTTCCCCAACCTTCTTAACATATCGGGACCTGAGAATACGAGGCAAGCGGATCTTGGGTCGGTCTGAAAAGAGTGATTGAAATGTGTTTATTTCCTGTCTTTTTTGCATATTATTTTTATTTTCAATAGCTGTGCAGTGATTAGGTGTGTTCTGTACCAACAGCAGTAGTTAGACCTACTGGCCAGTGGAGCACAATGGGCAAATTGTGCCATGTAAATGTCCCCTTGGGTGTCATCTGATGAAAGTGGCAAGTCAACATGAGTGAAAGGCAAAATGTTTTTCACTTTTTTTTTTTTCGTTTTGGAGGTTTAGACAGCTTCATTTTTTGTGCCTTCAGTGTTTTATGTTGGCGAAAATGATTTGAATGTGTTGAAATAGTGAAGCTTTATGGGAACTTGAGGGTGCCCTCTCTGATCTCTGGAGAAAATAAATCTCTCAGCTTTACCAATGATGTGCACATTTTAATAATACTTATAAGAATACAACAACACATTAGATACAACTAAACATGCATAACATGTAAAAAGCAAAAAAGCTCCGATCCTACATTTTTTATTTCATTTTTTTGTCTTTTGTGAAGGTACGGTAGGGGCTGCATGGTGGCGTAGTTGCTCTGCAGAAGGTTGCAGGTTTGTGTCTTGACTGAGTAATCTAAGCACAGAGTTAGCTTGTTCTTTCCATGCAATGGGTTTCCTCCCACAGGCCAAAAAAATACACGTGACTAAAATTGTCCCTAGGTGTGAGTGAGTGTGTGACTAGTTGTTCATGTCTCTGTGTCCCTGTGATGACTGGTGACCTGTCTACAGTGTCTCCTGCAACCCAATGAGGACTAACTGTAATACCCTTTTTATTTAATTTTAAATTTAATGGCTTACAAATGAAAATCCACCACATCCCCAAAAGACTAATTAAATGATTAAATGCTTTTTTATAAGAATTAGAGTAACTTCCTGAGTAACTGAACTAATCTACAGTATCCAGGCAGGGAGACACAAACCTGCATCCAGCAGCTCCTAAAATAACTCTAGTGACAAGAACCCTTTGGCTGAGCCTTTGCACATGTTCTCCTGTGGCATGTGCAAAATCCCTGAAAGAAGACCTCATCACTTTCTTCTGATCAGTATCAGAACCAGAATCAGATACAACCAGTGTTGGTCAGTTGCATCATGGCTAGGCCTCTGAGCATCTGCTACACCACCATATGCAGGCCGGTTTTATTCAGGTATCAAAAACAGCATCCATCACCTATTCTGCATGCGCAGCAAATGTCCCAGAAACTTGGTGTGCTTAGCGGACACATAAGTCCCCCGTCGTGTTTCTCCTGGTCAACTAAAAATGTCCTCTGAGCTCATGCCTCTGACTTCCTATCCATCTTCCTCATGCTGCTCTTTTTTTCCTCTGTGTTGTCCAGCACATCTCATCACTTCATGTCCTCAGCACGTTAGTTGCCAAAGCTGGGATCCAGCTTCTGAAGCCATCATTTCCTAAGATGCTCAGATCTGCCTCCAGAATGGCCTCAAACAACAATCCCTGCTAATTAACAAACCTGTCAGCAATGCTCTCGAGCATCACAGCATCCAGCAGCCACTGAGCACTACTGAAAACAATATGTAATCTGCCTTTGTCTATGGATAAATTGCCTTTGTGGGGGGGCTTTCAGCACACGTAGGACAGTTTGTCTCCATTAGCTTGTGAACGTGGCTTCGTGACAGACACAGAGTTGAATTCAACCCCAGCAAGCCACCCAGAATCCATCAATTAGTTTCAGGTTTCGCTCTCCCTAGTTGACCAACAGTTCTGTTTGTATGACCGCATCTGAACCTCAAAGGGTTCTGTTTTCTCCCATGTGGTTCCAGCCACAACCAGGAAGTGCCATCAGAGACAGTAAGCTAGGGATTACATGAGGATGTTTGCTTCACTGGACACCATGCCAGTTTGTTTCAGTGTTTTAAACAGGCAGGTAAAGGTGGATGTGAGTCTGATGCTGCATTACTCTAACCCTCTCTCACAAACCTAACCCTAATCCTGAACCAGCAGAGGAACAACAACATGGGATTTGTAGAAAAACACACAAATAAAAGTTATATTTAGGAAATTAACATTACTACACTATTAATAAAGTATTGTTCAATGATATAACGTACAGTATGTTGTTATGGTCTTGTACTGCAGCAAGGACAGTTCAATTATGTGTTATATGTCTTCATGCTTCATGCTCATTCAAATATATTATTACAAACACAATTCCAAAAATCTAAACAGCATCACATTGAAAGATGTGCATTTTCAAATATAAACACATATTCTTGCACTTCTGTAACTTCAGACTGCTCGTTTAAAACATTATTCAACATATAAACTACATATGTCTTGGAAAGGTGAGATTTTGTTCCCAACTTGAGCGGAGGCCTGATTAAATGACAAACATTCGCATCTTCAAAGCTGAACTCTAAAAATAGGTGAAAGTGTAACCGCTACGTAAATTTAATATATTTAGCTTGCATGCATTATGTCACTTAGCCATACATGTGTGAGAAGTCAGTGAGGATAGAGTAGCAGAGACATAAATAAATCTGCAAGGAGTCTGCACTGACAAGGTCGATGTCACTAAATCGCATGACAGCCAGCAGGCTCATTACCTAAATATTTTTCTTTGCCTGACTGAAATCACCAATGAATCACCCTGACTCTGTGGGCGCTAGTGCAGCACTCAGGTGTTTCAATTTCACCAGTTTAGGATGATTTTAAATGGAGATGTTGCTCACAAACAGGTGCTTTTGAAATATTTTTGTCGTTATTGTATAACATCCTTTATTATGTTGTATTTATACACGATATAATTTTAATCGGTTCAAATTGCCAGAATTGAAATAAGGCCTCAAGTAAGTCAACGCTGATTTAATAAAATAAAACATGTGCTATCAAATAAAATCTGAGTACACATTCACCTCATTTGTGCTAAAAACTACAGCGACAATGTCCAACTGAGAGCTTGATTTACAGTTAGTGAAAGCACTTGTCACCACCTGCAGGATTTACGTACTTCCATCTGTGATGTTCATCTGAGGCTGGTGGCTAATAGCACCTCTTTTGATGGCCGCGACAAGCGTATTTTAAGGAGAGGTCATATGTTACAGCAGTCAGAGAACTATTGACAGAGAGTAAATAAGCTGGATTTACTCCAGAAAAACTCTGAACTAAAGGATGTTTTGCACAGAACAGGATGTACAGTTGCAGTTATTTACAGCTGAACTGGAAGAAAACTTATCCATGCATCAAGCATAAGTGAACGTTTAAAGACGTTACTGTCCAAAATAAAAATTTAAGCATAAATCTCTTTTTGTAAATTCCCAACAAATTTTGTGTATGTGCACAGAAGTAACAGAAATGTTAAAGCTGCTTCCAGTGACTCATCAAGGTCGCCATGGTAACCACACATCTTTGACATAAATAAGAAGAAAATTGGGATGATATAAAGTAACTCTGTGTGAGCGTGGGCACACACTGGAGGGTTTTGACTAAGAGATAATCAGCCATACACAGTAGATGGCTGCCCTATGTCATCGGTTCTGTTTGAGGGTGATGAGTTTGAGGGCAGAAAGATCTCATCGCTACTTCTTGCAGGTGCTGCGGTCCTCTTAGGTCCATTAAGCTATAGCCTTTAACTCTTGAGGTTTGCAGCTGAGATGAGAATCTGCACATCCAAGTTTGAAGCCATGGTTCTCCACTGGAAAAGAGTGGACTGCTGCCTCTGAGTCAAAGAGAGGTCCTACCTCAAGGGGTGTTGAAACATCTTGGTGTCTTGTTCAGGTGTGAAGGAAGGAGAGAATGGGAGATAGAAAGGCATCTGCAGTGATTCAGATGCTGATGTTGTGGTGGTGAAGACAGAGCTGGGCCAAATGAGTTGGGTGGTTGGGCTGAGCCATAGAGATATGGTGAGGAGCTCAGACAACCAGGAGAGGCTCAGACTAAAGCCACTGCTCCTCAGCATCAAGAGACAGCTCATGTGGTTCAGACATTTAGTCAGAATGCCTCCAGGACGCCTGTCAGGAGACCAGTTTAAGCACGTCCTGCTGGTAGGACCCAGGGCATGCAAGAGACGTTTTATCTGCTGCTACTAGAAGTCACAGCACACCATACTTACTTACCACCAATTTCATGGATTGCCACAGGCTCAGGGAGAAGACCAGGTTCACTACGGCCAGCAGGGTTGACAGCCACCACGCGCACACGCAGCAAGTCTCCGGTTGTCAGGTCCCTGATGCGGTAATGGTTGTCAGGAGTCAGCTGCTCATTAGCTGCAATCCACTCGGCTGCTGCAAGGACGCAGATTTATGGTAAATCTTCTTAGGGTTGTACAACCCCCCAAGACTGTTCACAATACAATCAGTCCATTATCCATTCACAGACACATTCACCCTTCCACAGGCTGGTGACGAGCTACAATGTAGCCACAGCTGCCCTGGGGCAGCAAGACCACTGAACATTGGTACCACTGGTCCCCCCCCCCCCCCCCAAAAAAAAACACCAGCAGCAGGCAGGGTGGGTTAAGCCCAAGGACACACCAGCAACAATCTCTGGTGGAAGCTAGAATCCAACCTACAACCTTCCAGTAACTGGACAACCCGCTCTACCTCCTGAGCTACTGCTGCAGTATGTTACTATGTTACTGTATAGCGTGATTGTTCCTTTGAGTGCATCTGTATCTCATAATTGTTTGAAAAGGGTGTACTTTATAGTCTGTTCATGTGTCACTCTCTTTATTAAAGTCCTCAGTGAGACGTGTTCAGTTGTTTATCACCTGACGACACGGTTTTACAAACATCGTGCACTTAAAAAGTACAGTAAGAGCCAACATAATGAAATTTTAGAGGACACTCTGTCACTTGAGCAGCCAAGCTCTTCTAAAAGCAGTGTCAAGGGACATGGTGAGAGACCGTCTGTGATCTGATGCCTGCCGTATACGGACTGGACCCAGCATCAAGTCCATCTGACACCCTGGGGACAGGTGCAGTTACACAAGTTACACACACACTTACTTCCATCCTTGCAGTACTCTATGGTGTATCCAAGCAAGCCATCGTTTCCAATGGTGTCTGGTGTTTTCCACTTAATGGTGAGGCTGCTGTCATTCACGTCATCTACAGACACATCCAGCGGGGCGCTGGTGGGGACTGAAAGGGACAAAGAGTTTCTAATTTCTAGGGATTTTATAAAAACTAAAACTAAGCTGGCAGTTACCTGCTGGAGGCGGGGGTGTGGGAGCTTTGGGTGGCTCGTCAACGACAGCAGCTTCTGCTGGAACGGCTGTAATTTAACAAGCAGGAGATTTACCCAACGCATTTACCACATAGTGACACATCAGCTTGCAACGTTTCAAATTTTTTTAGATGTTGCTTTTGGACTGAGACGTGGAGCCACTGCACCAGAAACCAATCCACTGCAGCTGTTGTTGTAGCAGCATTTACAGCACAAAATTTATTTTGTGTATTGTGTTAGTGTTTGTGTTGTTTTATGTTGTGCCTACTGTGACAGCGTGTTGCTACACGTGTAGCATGTAGCTAACATTAAAACAGAATTAGAAGAGAGACAGTTTGTGCACACATTAAAACATTATTTGTGAAGGAAAGCATTGATCATTTTAAATTGCAATTTGCATTTGCACAATTCTGTTGCGTCTACGGTTTGAGACAAACATCAGGGTTGGTTTTGCTTTTTGAGTCACATGCACTCTGTGTGTATACTGCATAGACATTTGATCAGATCAGGATGCACTTGGTGTGAGCTACGGTTGGCACAACATATATATCAAACACACACTCAAGATCCTAAAAGAAGTGTTAAGGAAAAGGCTCTAATTTGCAGCGTCTTCTATATATTGCATGTTGACTAAAATGAGGCATGGCCGCATCTTCCATCTGCATGATGAACTGGTGCTGTTAGATACCTGGAGCTGTTCCCTCTCCTGAGGGTGTGTCCTCAACTGGAGCCGCTGGAGGGGCCTCCACCTCGGCTGGAGGAGATACTTCAGCTGGTGTCTCAGCAGGTAGAGCGAGTTCAGGTGCCTTCTCTTGAGCCAGAGCCTTCTTGGCTGCAGACCTTTTGATGGGTGCAGGTTTACTAGGCATCGCGCTGACAGACTGACTGTGTTGTGGATCGGGACTCAGAAGAGTCCTTGGTGACATATATAGAGAAGGAGTTAGAGGGTTTGGTTAAAACTCCACCCATCATCAGACCCTCCCCACCCGAGTTCACATCTTCATGTTTCTGCTCTTCTCTTCCAGACAACATTCTGTAAATGTTTGAGTCTAATAGAGAGATGGTGTTTGGAATTTTATTTAGGGAACTATTTATAGAGTGACTGACTAAACAGATTTATAGATGAAAAAGTAGAAGTCCTAGAAACAAGTTTTCATATATACTTACATATATACTTCAAATATATGACCTAAGAGCGTTTCTACAAAAAATCTGTTAAAGTGATTTTCCAGCTTATCTAAACTGTTTCGGTGAAACAGTTCTGTTACAATGTTGTAGACAGCTTCCTCAGGAGCATCAGATCAGAGAAATAGATTTTTGTGTCTGACAGGACTGATGAGCTAACAGCTAGTTCCCAAACAGCCAAGACAATGATGTATAGCGGTATATGCAAGGGTTGTCTTAGAAGCCTTTCTGCTTCAGTTTCTCATTTAAAGGTTATCTATACAGAAATATAAATAATGAACACTGATGCTGCTGATAGGTTAGATGACTGTATGCTGTGGCTCTTGACATTCAGACTTAAACACTGAGTTACTTAAAAATAACCATGGAATAAAAACAAAACAAAAGACAATGGAAAGCCATGTAAAGTATTAAAAACTAGCATTTGTTTGATCTTTATTTGGAATCTTAGAAGATTGGAGCGAATTTACAGCCTTTTCATGTTTCAAAGAAAGGCTCAAGTCTAAATTGTCCAAAGTTCATAGCTAATTCAAACAAGTGCAGTTCCTGAGTCAACGTCATGTTTGTAGTCTTTACCACATTGCAGCTCTGGTGCTAAGCCTAATCGATGTCTCTCTACAAACAGACCATTGTCATTGGCCAGACCTGTAATTGTTTGTTCCAATGGTAGACCTGCTGTGGCTACAACAGAGCATGGCTTGACCAACCTGCAGAACAAAAATGCTTTGCCATTGCAAAAGATTGTCTAGGTGTCTATGCTAGCCAATTTTATAAGGCAGCAATGTGCTTGCTTTGTATTAGTCCTTTAGGACGTAAACACTATTTCTGTGATCTGAGGTTATTCAGCATGCTGTCTGCAAATATTAACAACTCTTTGCAAGTCTCACATAGAATTGCACAGCAAGTAAAGGAAAACAGCCTCTACCACCCCTTGGTGGTATAAAAGTGACATCAGGACAAGATTTGGTGTTGAAAAATGGCATGACTTTATTATGTCCAGTGCTTCAAGTTAAACACGTGGGGTTCAATGTGATTAAAGAGAGATGGCGTACAACCATTATTAAGCCCACTTTTAAGCCAAGTGTGTCACCCTGTGGGAGGAAGACAGTAAAACCACAGAGGATGCTCATTTTCTGCATACATGGGCCCAAACTTCTCTCTGATCTCTCCGCTTCTGTGATTGTTGTCGCAGATGCGGTGACTATTTACACTGTTTACAATGGCGAGGTCATGTACAAAAAAAACTTTACAAACATTTCTATGAGAAAACAAACCTCTGCTGGTAAAAATAACTCGAAAAGAGGAAGAAATCCAGTTATTAAAAATCTCTCGTAATAAGGTTCAACTGTAGGTCCAATGAAAGAAAAAGGAATCCATTCATCTCAAGCTTTAATCTCAATCTGAAAACCTGTTGATCGCCACTCTCACGCAACTCCTGAATGATGTCAAATCTTTAATGTTCAAGATCGTGTCAAACTTGCACACAAGCATGCCCGGCTGTGATAAATGGACTCACGCTCCATCTTTACAAACAGCTGATCCACCTGAAGGACCAAAACGATAACCCATAAAAATAAAGTGACATCAGAGTCGGGTAAAAGGAAATATTTCATGTTTCCTTCTAACTTCTAACTGAGGCCTCCAGGTGGTAGATTCAAGCAGGTTTAGGCCAAACTGGGTTTCAGGCACAGCTAAACTGAGGCATTGTGTCTATGCTTTACACCAGCACCTTCAGTGGAAAAGTGTGGAAACATCTGGACAGAATGATGGCAGTCTGAGGTACTTGAGGGTCAGAGGCGGACAGTTCTCCACAACCAGCGGTTTCATCCTCCAACAGACATTTTCTCTTTCATCACATAACAGTCAAGATATGAGCAATAAATACTGTAATCTACTCTTTCAAACAAATCTCTTGTGCAAAACATAGGGAACAAAAACGGGAGGAAGCATTTAAATTTTGATAGAAACTCTTCTTATAACTTAATGCATGAGAGCAGACTCGTTTCCACTTTGAAAAAGAAAGAGATAAAAATAACCATATGACTAAGTGTAAAGAGGAAGGAAGGAAAATGTTTTGCATTCAAACTTAACTTCACTTCTGCTTTGGGAGCTGAAGCATTAAAAACTGATCATGAGAGCGGTGTGGTTTCAGACTCAGCGGGGTGTCAAAGAAGATGAATCAGTATAAAATCCTACAAAATTTGGAGTTTTAAAAGCGGGTATTGGTGGATTTTACAAGAACAGTTTATTTGAATACAGACCGTACGCAAGCGTAGCCAGAAATGGTAAAACTTGATCAACAAGTAATATTGAATCTGCGTCGTGTTTCTGTTATAAGTTCAGTTAAACCACCTACTGAGTCCTTTATCATTCATGCAGGTTCCTCTAACAGCTTCACAGTTCTGATATTGGATGTAAAATAAACAAAATAAAAGACAACGCTGAGTTGAAAAGACAAAAACATTCAAGGCCGTGATCACAATTTTGTTTTTGAACGTGTCCAAATCTGCTGAGCACCTTTGAGAAGTCAAAGTTCACCAGCAGAGGCAGATGTTACAGATGCTGCCATCTACTGGATGTACTCATCAACTGCACCGTTAGGCCAGACTGACGAGCCCCCCTGTTTGACACAGTCACCGACTCAGCCCTCTAAAATCCAATTTTCACATGTAAAAAATAAAGTGCATTTGGGCTGTCATCGAGTGATGGTCCTAAGTGTTGGGGGGGGGGGGGGGGGGGGCAGTCTGTCACAGGTTTCATGAACTCCAGAAATGATGGAAATAAAAACCAGCGAGCGGCAGAAGCTGTTAAGTTTGTGGCAGCCGAACAGAAATAAAATAAGTCTGGATGAGCAACACTATAGGTAATATTTTGCATCATTCCATTCCAGTCACCATGCACTTGCAGATTAAACATCAACCCATGTGGGCCAAACTGAGGCACGAAGAAGGACCACGTCCAAGTCCACGTCTTTCCTCAACATGATCATCACAGCTCCTTATGAAAGCAGTTTTCTTGTCTTTCCTATGGTGGGAATCAGGCCAGAGCTATCTCTGAACCCAGAATCCTTCTTTAACTTTCAAACTGCTCACTGAGCACACAAAAAAGTTTAGCACAGAGTCTTTTGAACTCTTATCGGGGCCGAGCTTTAACATGAAGTCTGTAGTTTTTAATCATTGTAGGCGGTCATCTCAAAGCATAGTCTGCAGAGTGGGATCCAGACAGCCCTCTCGCTCCGGAGACTCGATGTAGTTGGCCGACTCTTGGAGTTTCAGCAGCATGGCCATCTGGGAAGTACAAAGATGAGACACAGAGTGAGTCAAAGTGCATGTTATAATTTACAGAGGTACATTAAATACACCTTGGTGTGTTTTTAGAGTTTTTAGGATATATAATGATTATTTTTCCATATTTCAGCTATATTTTGAACTATGTAACACCAAAAGAATCCTATCACAGTTACAGAGGCACATGACTGAGTCATTTCCTCAAAAATGCATGTCTCCTGCTCTCTAGTGGAAGATTTAAGCATCGCAAGTGGAAGACGATATTTCAACGTATGAATTAATGAAGATATTTTATGATGAAGTGTTTTTAATTTTATGCGATTTCAATTCAGCTTATTCATATATTCACAAAAAGAGTCGTTACAAGGCACTGTACAAAGTAAACATTCCCATTGAATCCACTTATCAGTTGTGCCAGTTAGTTAAGTTTCCTATCCAAGGAAACCCAGCAGATTGCAACGAATCGCTGACTTGCTGTGTCAGTGACTTTACAGCAATTCCCATCCTTAGCAAGCATGTAGCGACTGTGGAGAGGAAATCTGCCATTCAACAGGATCGACAGGAATCATCACATCTCCCATGTTCCATGCTCTCTCTCACCAGAGGGTCTGACTCTAGAGTGCTGGGTGGAGGTGTGTCTTTAGGAAGCTTCTTCTCCTCACTAGGCAGCCCTGTGCTGGGAGGGGGAAGGTGGAAGAGCCTGGACTGGTCCTGCTGTGCATTGAGCCATGGAAGAGTCCCTCTCACCCACTCCACTGGATCCTCCCATACTGCTTTGTGACCATGTACCTGAGACGACAAACACAAGGCTGCTGTAGTGATGTCGTTTTCTTTATGTGGAGTCTCATGATAAAACAAACATGCTCACTTTGATGCCGTCTTTGGCTCCCTCCTGCAGGTACGGAATGATGGAGTGGTTCCACAGGTCAATGAACCATTGCCTGAACTCTTCCACGGACACAGGGCATGACAGGAAGAAGCAGGGACCTGTGGGAGGAAACACCATTATAATCCTTCTATTTTCTTTGGAATCTCAACCAGTTAGACCAAAATGACCCATCATCCAAGGACTCTCACCAATGAGGAAGTCTGAGGTACTGTGTTTCTCCAGGAAGGTGTGCAGATGGTACCAGAGCTGAGGGATCCAGTCAAGAACATGGAGAAGTGCCTGGTGGTGAGCTGAATCATGCTCCTCCTCCTGGTAGGTCTCTGTGGCTTTACGGTGCAGGTACCTCAGGAGGAACCCGTTGGCAGGTTCCACATTATTAGAGAATGTCACCATCCTGTCACCAAACAACATGCAACACATTTTATAAACAAAAATGTAAGATTGAGAAGGAATAAGTGAAAACATCATCTGACTCAGAGAGTACCTGAAACTGAGGTGCAACCCGTGATTAGATGACATCTTCACAGGCTGATTGGTGGTACCAATGATGTATGGGCTGAAGCAGAAAACAGTGTCTGAGTTTTATGAAACAAATCTTAGATTAAATCTCTAGTGAAACAGATTAACTGAAGGTCACACCATTTGTGATACTTGCAGGTGAGCGCTCCGTTCACGAGTTCAGTGATGGCTGCTGGATCACTGATGTCATCAATGATGATGACCAATGGCATCTCTCCTCCACTCTCCCTGTCAATCTGATTTGCTAAGTTTGACAGGTACAACTGCAAGTCCTGCATTGTAAAAAATTGGAACAAAATTATAAATGTAGGGTAACAAAACAAATAACTGCTACAATCTCTGGTTGTGTTTTACCTTCTGTGACTGGCGGTGCATGTTGAAGGTGACAGCAGCGCTGCGACCCAGAACACACGACTCTCGCTCAGCATCCAACAAGTCTATTCGACTTCGCTGCAGGAGGTAGTGGGCCAGATGCTGGGCCAGATACGTCTTTCCTGTTCCGCTGGGTCCAGACATAACCAGACGCCTGTGCTTCATGAGCAGGCTGATGTAGTGCAGCATCATGGGCTTCGGAATTAGAGTCTCAAACACCAGAGAGTCAACGCTGTTTTCTCTCAGACCTGCAAAAGATGAGGCTGTCACTACTCTAACTACTCAAATCAGTCAAAAATGACTGTAAACGTAAATTATTTTTATCAGGTAAATGTGTGTTGGTGAGTACAAATTCATCAGGACCAAGGACAAAGTCAAGATAAACACAAATGTTTATATTATATATGTTTAATCTTTGGAACAAAATTCCATTTTGAATAAAAACTTTAAATGTTTTAAAGACACAAAGACATTTATTTACCAGAAATGTCCCTGAAGTAATGTCAAAATATTCTGCAATACGATAAGAATAGGGGCGTGACTTGATTTAAAAACTTAATTAATTAATTAGAGGCTTTGTAATGAATTAATCCAGATTAATCACATTTTAATTTTTTAAGACAATTTGCGCCCAAGAAATCTTTTAAATCAAAAACAATATTAATGAGGCACAGATAACATACATACTGTGGGATTTGTTGGGATGTGCAAATATTAGTATATGTGTGACTGATGGACACATTTTAACACTTTATTTATTCGAACTAATTCATCGTAATTAATGCGTTAACACTTTGGGCCCTATGCTTTTGCTGCTGCACTTGCTCGCCCCCCAAATAGGGCAAATGTTCACCCCTCGTTAAGAATAAAATTTGTTCAATGATAAAACAAAATCTGAACTTTGAGAAGTGTTTGTCAAGAAGAGCGGACCACCTGCTAAAGTGGGGTTTCATTAGAAATCAACTTCTCATTCAGATGCAGAAATGATGCAAAACTGTATTTTTTATTTAATTTAATTTAAATCAAACTCATCTTCAACAGTCCTACTTTTTACTGGTACTTCTGTACTTCTAACCTTTTAAGGTGACATAAATTTGAGCAGGCCCATTGTTGAGACACTGATGAGGTAATCTTTGAGGTCTCTCCCCTCCCATCACCCTCTGCTCTCCGTGGCTCAGCTGATACATGAGCAGGGACTCGTGGGTCAGACCCAAGCTGGCGGTCGGGTCCACGTGACTTAAATAATCCTAAACAAAAGACAACTTAAAGTTAGCCAACTGATCAAAGCCATCACCTGTGTCAAACCTTGATAGGAAGTCAAAATTAGACTTACTTTGAACATTTTAGCAACGAGAGAGTCAAGAGAGGCCCAGTCAGTCCTCGTACTGATCGGAACCGAGCCCAGGTAGAAATTCTGCTTCTGTTTACTCTCCTACAGAAAAACACTGATCAGATAAAAAGAAACACTTCTTCACCTGATTAAAAGCTGAAGCCAGTTTGTGTTTACCTCAGTTTGATCCCCGACATGGACTAGAACTTTTGCACACACTTCATCACAGTGAGAGATGCTTTGTGAGTCAACAGAATACACTTCTACAGGAGGAAATAGATTATTTTACAAACAGCACGTATGCATGAGACAACTTCTGTGAAAGGTTTAGTTTGAGTTTCACCTGGATCTTTACAATCATTCAGACTGAGGCTGAAGGACTTGGTGAGGGAAATGCTCATTGGCTCCCTCAGTGAGGGGCCCAGGATGGAGGCCAAGCCCGAAGGCTGGGATGTGGATGAGGTAGGCCCGGAGCTACCGGAGCCGGGCAGCTGAAGCTGACTTCCTGTTTTTAGGTGGTCATTTTCTGCCTTCAGGTTCTCCACGGTTGACTAGAACACAAGGAGATTTGAATTTTACGTCCAGGCTGCAGATTAAAAAAGTCAGACAGACCAGAGGCACACACCTGCATGTTGTGCATGGCTTCTCTGAGCTGCTCCAGCTGATGAGCAGAACTTAAGGCCTCCAGCCGAATGTCTGTCAGCTTCCTCTCTTTCTCCCAGAGTTCCGAGCGTAATTCTGACACCGCCGTATCACTGTCGTCTCCTTCTTCTGCCGTTTCCACGATTCTGAGGTAGCCAACAAGCTCTCGTCAGAGACAAACTGCCACACAGAGGCTAAGCTGATGCTCATTGTTGATCTTTGTACTCACATTGAAGAGGAGGTGGATGCCAACATTTTGAGGTTCTCTCCTGCTTCGGAACTATTGTGAGCCATCTTTGGTGAGTTGGGAGCTGAGGAGTCTGGGGTGGCAATTTCCTCAATGTCTGAGTAGGTTTTGGAGCCTTTTTTAATGCTGAAGGCCTTGTTGAAGGAGCTTCTCAGCTACACAGAAACACAAATAAAGACACATAAACAGAAATAAATTAACCCACTTAATAACCAGGAGACAAAACAAGAGGGAAATGATTAAAATAATTTATTACATGCTGGACACTAATGGAATAGTTTGTCACTTTTCAGCAAAAAAATAAAAAAAAAACACCTCCAGAAAATTCGAGGAGACATTCTAAAAAGTCAGTTTGTCACCCGCAGAGACGCAGAGATTTTTGCAAATTTTGTTACATTTACAGTCTGGAAAAACAATTTTTTTTGTTTGTTTAATGGACTCTAATTTATAAAACAGCTCATCCATATATAAATATAAAATGGAAAAACAAACACAAAAATATAAATTTTGTCATTTTTAAGCCTGTAGAGCTTATATAAGAAATGGAGTGGGAAGTTGGTGTCATGCATATTTTTATTATTTATTGTTTGTTGATGTAAAGGTTCTTTATTTGATAAATAATTATTTATTAAAACAGATGATTTAAAAAATAAATGGAATTGTGCTATTGTCCTTGAAAATAACTGATAATTTAATAATAATAATAATAATAATAATAATAATAATAATAATAATTTTAATAATAATAATAATAATACATTTTATTTTAAGCGCTTTTCAAAGCTCTCAAGGTCACTGTAAAAGACAAAATATAATATCAGATTTTAGACTCTGTCTGCTACAATGGCACCTTCAAAGATGTCTTTTCAAGTTTTTTTTTTTTTTTTTTTTACCATTTGATTTATAAAAATCCAGATCAAAGATTTAATTTATAATACAATTTTCTCTTTGGGCGAAGCTAACTAGGAACAGTACATGTAGACTTACATGAGCATTGAGGTGCTCAGGGTTGTCAGCATAATCATGCATCCCCAAAAATTGACAAACTATTCCTTTGAGATTTCGGCCATTACATTTAACACCAAAGTGTTGTGTCAGTAAACGTTAGCTGATGTTGGAAACAAAAATGAAAACAAAAGTTATTTCTGGAGAGTAAAATACTTAAGAATGTGTCCCTCTGGGAGTAATAAAGTATCTTTGAATTTGAATTGAATTGAATGAAACAAGTAAAACGAGGATGAACATTAATGCACACATTTAATGAAATTAAGTTAGTCTCTTCCAGTGTGAGGCTGATCATGTCTGCTGCTTGCCACTCAAACCGACTTATCGCTAATGGCAGCTGATTCATCGATGGTGTTGAAGGTCAATCAGCAGAGATGGAGCAGTTTCAAATCATGCTTTGCGACAAAAACATTTAGGAAGTTCCACATTTATAAATAGGTGAAACTCACCTCAAAGACCTGAAACAGTGAAATAACAGAGGAGGGAGAGACTTGTCACACTTCATCCATGCTGTTCAAGTCATGTTTAATATGTTTTCACACAAACACCAAGCTGCTTGATGAAAAACTTGCCTAAACCGAAACCTCTTTTTCTTACCCAGCTCTTCTTCTTCTTATTCTTCTTTGCGTCCTGATCCTTTAAGCTTCCTAGACTCGACAAACTGGTCAGACTGTTGAGGCTGGAGATGCTCTCACAGGAGTTCTGACGGCGGATACGCAGGTCTGGAAAAAGACAAAATTACCCTTCAGTGTCCAGCTTGGTGCAAAAAAAAAAAAAGAGAGGAAGAGATGAATTGGTCGATCTGCAAACCTTTCATGTTATCTGGGTTGTTTAAGGCTCCATGGATGGCAGCTTGAGCTTCTTCGTTCTTAGACTTCAGGGACTCGATTGTCTCCCGCAGCTCCACCAGCTCTGTGTCCTGAATGAAAGGTTGATAAACGTCACAGTGGTGTTTGCTTAACAAATCAGAGAGATGACATTAGCAGGTGGATGCCGTGTTTCTGCAATATGCTGTAATATTTGGTATTATGTAAACAAACAGCTAGCTTGATGGTAAAACAGTAATGGTAAATGGCCTGTATTTGTGTAGCATCTTCTCTAACCTTAACCCGACTGGACACAATGAGTTTACGTCTCATGTCCTCTTACAGCGACGGCTTACCGCAGTGCTGTCAGTGTGCAGTCTCAAGTCAAAATCTTCTTCTCTAACTCCTCGGTGTTTCTTGTAGTTTGCATTATTATTGAAGCCACTAAGAAAAATTAGGGTCGTTATTGAATTTATTTATTTTTTTATATTAACAGCTGCCATTGATGACTAAAGTCGTCATTTGCATTTTTGTACTGTGTGGGTGTCGGAACGAGCCCCCGCACCATGAGAACAAACAATCCAGCTCTAAAGCTGATCTTCATCCGCGTACGTCACAGATCATGTGATCAGGAAGCAGAAAACCCATTTGTTAGGAGATCGTTTTGGGCCGCTGCTGTAAAAAAAGTGAGGCGCGAACCGGAACAGCTTCTGCCGATCACAATTCGACAACGAATTATGAAAGAACAGATAACGCTCGAAATGCGCAGACTCTTCTTGATGTAAGAGGATAGTCTACTCTTTGTTTGGGTAGTTTTGGCGTCGACATCATCCTAGCTTGTAACGTTCTGTGACTCTTAAAAAAAACAGTGAAAATGCTGAAAAACACTGGCAGCGATGGGTTTTTCTGATCAGGAAATGGCTGGCAGTGAATGAGTTAAATGCTAGCTGTTACCATTCACTTCCATTGATTATGCTAAGCTAAAGCTAACGGAATACTTCCAGATTAGGAGAATGACTGGGCTGGTTACATAATGTTTTAACCCACTTATCTAACTCTGGAGAATGTGGCAACAGATTAAATTTCACTTTGGGGTGAAGTATCCCTTTAAAAATAGAACCAATTTTATTGTTTTAAGCAAACTGTGATTCTAAAATAAAGAGAAATCACTTGTATTATTAGTTATATTCTGCTGTGGAAAATGCATGCACACTTTGGACAATTTTGGATGACAAAACTGCTGAAACCTCTCTTCCCGTTTGGCCACTTAAGCATAGATATTACACTGTTTCAAGTAACTCTTGTTCAAAGCTTTAAGGAGCTGAGTTAGAAGGGCCGAAGAGCCACAAGTGGTTCCAGAGCTGCAGGTTGGAGGCAGGAAAGAGTTATGGTGAGAAAATGCAACCAGCTGGTATTTAAACCCTCACTCTCTCTGGCATTCATTTTTACCAGATTGTGTAAATGACAAATAAATGCAATTTTTAAATTGTGCTCATACTGAACTTTATCCTCCTTGTCGCATCAACAAAGTGATAAAGAGTCCAGAACAACAGAGCCTTTCTGTGTTGTCTTCTGAAGTCAATCCCACTTTACTCTAAATGGATCCCCTGGGTCCATCTCTTCAAGGTTAAGGAGTCTCTGCTGCAGGCTGAGCTGCACAGGTCAGCGCCCTGGCACTAACAACAAAGAGTGTTCATGTGCGGCCCAGACAGAGCTTTCAGAGGGAGCAGCAAGGCGTGAAGAACTCCTCAGACTCCTCAGATTCATAAACTGAGCATCACCTCGAGCGGTGATCAGGTCGCTCTCACCAAAACAGGCCGAAGAATGCAGGAATGTTGTTTTGAGTGCAAGCTTTCTGGGTGTAGTTTTTTTTTCTTCTTTTTTTATTGATCCTCTTTTCTCTCTCATCCTATGCATCCACCACCTGAACGTCTAAGCTAGACCCAGCTCCCGCTGGGATCAAAGTCACGTCTCGCCACGCTGGCTCTTCACCGGCTGCTCTTATAGATAAATGCTGGAATGTGGCTGGAATTCAGGTTTGTGTGCATGTTTGAGTGTAACAATTCAGCCGTAGTGGTACCTTTTGTTCATGGCTTATCGACAGACTCTGCAGCCGAGCCGTCATCAGGGACAAGCTCTGTTCAAAGGCCGCTACCAGATTAGCCTGCGTGGAAAAAATGGGGGGAAAAAAGAAAGATTGTTAAATTTTGAAAGTACTTGTCTCGGAGAGAATATCATCAAGATGTTTATCTGATCACATTTAAATGGAGATTAAGAAGGAGGAGCAATAATGAAGCTGGAAACAAGCATTAACAGGAACAGATTTGCTGCTCTTTAACCCTTTTAAACGAGGTGCTTGAAGGGTGAATAAAACAAAGGTTGAACAGGAAAATATCCAAGCAAAACTGTTCTGTTGCTTAACCTAACTCACATGAGATTTTTTTTAATTATTCTGTCCAGAGCATAACACCATGGTGGCATAATCAAACAAGCCCTTAATCACACGGTTTTACATTTGGCACATTTGATTAGATTTAATGAAATCATTAATATTAAAAGTCTCAAGGGAAGAAGTACACAAATGAAGACATGACTGATGTGTTCTGCCTGAGTCTGTGTCTAATATCTGTATTCTGCTGCTGAACAAAGACAATGCTGACTAGGAACCTCACAAATACACAACTCTGTTAGATACAGAGTGGGGAGCCCAGACTTGGGAGTGCATAAAAGCTAAATGAGGAATGTTCAGGGAGAGAAGAAAAAAAATCATGGATGCTATACAAAAGGAAAGGTTTTGGAAATTTGCCACGTTTAAAGGCATACTATGCAAAGTTTTCATATTTTTAAATAATTTTCTTGAGCCAGTATGTGCTAAAACAATCCTTTACATGGTTAATGAAATGTCCCTCAGACCCCCACCACCCTCTGTAGCCAGAATACCGCACTTGCAACTTCAGAGTGCCGATCCGGCCCCTGTTTGATTTAGTAAAGTGGAGCTGACATGCCAGCGCTTGAGTCTGCTTCCAGCACATTTCCTGTAGGTTTTAGATCATGACCACAGCTGATTTGTTTGATTTACTTAAGCAAACCACTCCTGTAGAAACTAATGAAGGCTGAGGAGACATTTCAGTATTTAGATTAAGGTGTTAAAAAGACGAACACACTTCGACGAAATGCGTTTCACTTTTGCTTTGACTAACGGACACTAGGGGTGCTAAAAGCAAGCCAAAACTGTCTAGTTTCCCTTTAATGTTTATTGACAGTTCTTGCTTGTTTGGCGAGGCCTACACATAAGACTGTGACTCAAGCAACATGAAGTGTTAAAATTCTCACAGACTCGTCATGAACTCCTGGAACTTTTCTGCAATCCGTTTCAATTTAGTTTTCATCAGAAAGTCTGAAAAATATGCAACGACTTTGGGAAATGTAGGCTACCTACCAAACTACGTTACAACTGACTGAAAAGAAAAGTAAATAAATCAGGCATGAAGCAGGAGCAAAACAATTGTGAATAAAATGAGAATAAATTGAACCCACAAAAGAATTTGTGTCCCCAACAAGCTGCAGCCCATAAAATCCTAACAAGAAGCTTTACTTAGCGCCTGTTATAATATTCTCTACCTGTCTGCCAATGAGGAAGGTGGGGAGAAAGGTTAATGGGTTAACGTACGTTAGCTGTCAGCTGAGTGGTCAGATTGGACACCTTCTCCTGCGACGACTCCAGCTCTCTCCTCAACATGCGAATTTGCTGTGAGGAAGAACATAACTCTTCATTATGTTGCAGAAAAAAACATTATTTCAGCTGAAAATAGCTGAAATGAAACAAATGAGATGATGGTGATCATAAAATGAACTTAAACTCCCAAACACAACAGGGATGAGCTGATGGATGAAGAAGAAAGAAACAGTCAAGACGAGGAAGGGGCTGGGCTGTGGAGACGACACTTACCTCCCCCTGAATCCTTTCCTCAGCCTTGGAGAGAAGAGCATTAAAAGTCAAGATGATAGATTAAAAAAAAGAGAAGGGACGGAAGAAAGAAGAGGAGACTAATAAGGTACAGGGTACAGTCTTAGGTGTGTGCTGTGTGAAACAAGAGAAAAGCACCCCCCACACACACACACTCACACACACACACACACACACACACACACACACACACACACACACACACACACACACACACACACACACACACACACACACACATATCCAGCTTTAAAAACAAACTAATCTACCTGTTTCTGCGTGCTGCCCACACTCACCGAAGAGTAGCTCGATGAGGCATTCGAAGCCAGAGAGAGCACAGACCCGTGAACTGAAGAGGGAACGTCAAGAGAAACAAAATCAGCAAACAAGCAGCTGAAGGTAGAAATCACCAGGACGACCTTTATCCTGTTTAACCATAATGCCCCCCAATTGGGGGCCTCTACAGTTCCATGTCCCAAACATCTACGACTGTCTACATTCTCCAAACACAACTAAAACCACAATCAATAATATAAATAAATAAAACAACTGACTAAATTTCCTAAAGGGAATTTGAACTCACAACCTCCATCCTGTCAGCACTTTCACACAGGGCAGCTCTTCTAAAATAAAGTTCAAGTGTTATTTTACCTTAATGTATCAAAAACCAAAAATTGCTTTGTTTACAATCTAAATTGTTTTGATTGTAGCTGTAGCTGTGCTCGGGGAATGCAAACAATCACTGACACTTGGGACATGAAACTCCAAAGGCCCCCAATTGGGAGGCGCCAGGGCCCAAAGAAAAAAGGTCTAGGGCCTAAAGGGTTAAAGACTAGAAAAACTAAAACCTTCATCGTTGGGTTCTCGGTCCCTGAAGGACCCAGACCGAACCATCCCCATGCTGCGTGGGCGATCAGCCAATGATAAGGTGCTGCCGAGTGGCGACGCCCCATACAGTTCCATGGAGGCATCATGTGTTGGGATGCTGTTGGACCGAGTCATCCTGGTAGGCCCGCCAACAGGGCTCGGGACTGTTGGAACACCGACGTCATTAACAAGTACATGTCAAACTTTGTGAGCACACGTGTGACTTTAATTATCATAGAGATAATGTGTGTGTGTGTGTGTGTGTGTGTGTGTGTGTGTGTGTGTGTGTGTGTGTGTGTGTGTGTGTGTGTGTGTGTGTGTGTGTGTGTGTGTGTGTGTGTATGTGTGTGTGTGTGTGTGTGTGTGTGAGTATAAGGATACACACCCATAGCAGTCTTGGAGGTGCGAGGCAGAGAGGTGGGTGAGGCCAGCAGTGGGAGGGTGAGAGAGTCGGTCATGCTGAGAACCGTGTGAGAGTGTCTCCTCTCTCCTTTCTCCTTCCCTTCCTCCTCAGCTTGAGAAGCACCGTTGAAACTACAAACACACGGTCGGTCAACGTCAACATCAACCAGAGACAGGTTTAGTTTTATTCATGGTTATGAACCAAATCGTTTTGGTAATGATTTAATATTTTATGGTAATTGCACAAACAGTCCCCCACGTACCTTAAACCTTTCTTTGGCAGTGTGTTTCTGTCTCTCTGAGGACTGTAGAAATTAAACAATGCTGTTATTTGAGCCCAAGCATAGGGAGTTATTAAACTTTCACGAACAGACAGAGGGCACAAAGAACCACAGTAAGACTGGCAGACAGCTGGTGTCAGGCAGCAATTATGACTTCAGTCAGCAGGGCTGCTACAATACTGATAACAGGCTCTTAGTAATTACATCTCTGCAACCCATTAACGTGAGTGTGAGAGAGAGTGGTTAACTTGTTTAAGGTAATAGAGCAAGAAAAATGACCATTAAAGGCAAACATGTTCCAGTAGCTAGCTGTGTTTGTTCTCTTTGATCCGAATGCCTGTTACATCTCAGATCATGGACGTAGTTTTGACTTTAGAAGTGTGTGTGTGTGTATGGGGGAAAGGGGGGGGGGTCTTTACAATAAGTTTGCAAAAAATATGTGCTTAACTGCATCCTAGAGGCTCTTTTATGCAATGTCAGGAATGCTGAGCTGTCAAGTACGCAGGAGGCAGTGAAAATAAAAACTGTAATACTTTCAATTCAGCTTTGTTTTTCACTTTCTTAGTCATTTTCATTCCTACTCCTTTAACGTAATATTGTTTTTGAACAGTAAAAAGTGCAGGAGACAAAAATTGCCCCTCCCAAAACTACATCCATGTCTCAGATACACATTTTTACTAAACCTACTGATTCTGTAAGTTTTAATGTGATCTAAATAGATTCCGCACCTGCTTCATTAATGAGCAGAAGGTGACTTTTAAATTTACAATAGTGTGTATGAACATTAAACCATCTCTGAACCATAGAAGTGCAGTTCCTCAACTGACCAGAAGGTGAAGCTAAAGAGCTGCTTTGAGTGTATTTCTGGGGTTGGTTTGGGTTATTCACCAGAATCTGCCAAACTGAACTAACCTGTCTGTGAGAGTCAATGAGACTTTACTTCCAGAGCTCCAGCTGGATGGAGGACCTCTGTCCTGCTGTTTGTCTTTGGACTCTAATGTGGTGTACCCTCTCACCAGAGTCTCCCTTCCCCTGTCCTTGTCCGTTTCCTTGGGCTCTGGGGCCAGACTCATCTGTAATGGCAGTGACTCCAGACTGCGATGTAACCCAGTCATGCGTGGGTAAAGAAGGGGTGAGGTGCTCCCTTCGCTCCTTTCAACCCCGAGGGAAGTGACCTGCCTGGGTCCCAGTCCGACGCTAGGGCTGGAAAAGCAGGCAGAGGAGTTCACGTTGAGTAAAGGTGCCAGGCTCGGAGTAAGGCAGGAGTTTCCTGATGAGCTACAAAGTTCTTGGAGCTTGGAGTAGGGAGGAATCTTTGGAGGTAGTTCCTCGTAAACCTCGACATCAAAGCTGTTGGAGTTCAGCTTGTCCAATTGGGCCATGGAAGGAGGTTTGGCCAAGCTGCGGACCCCAGACAACCTGGAGAAGCACAAAGATGACTTTAAAACAATGCATAATAATGCTTTTATGTCTAAAGATGTCACATAAGAGTGTGATTACCTCTGTGTGCTGGATGAGGTCAGATCCAAGCTCTTACCAAAACTGGGTGGTCTCAGCCCGTGAAGCTTTTCTCCATTTTCAGAGGGGGCCTGAGCAGAACTAGCCTTCAAAAACCCACCTCCACACTCCGAGTCAGACACTACAGCTTTAGCCTTGGCTCTCTCTTTCTCCTTCTCTCTGTCTGTTTGATTGACAGGACCAGGACTAGGGATCCCACGCCCCCCTGCCTTACTTGAACCAAGACCCGAGGAGGGCTCTTTGAGCCTGGATCCCTGTTGAGTTGTAGTGGAAGATTTGTTCAGAGCAGATCCCGAGTCCACGGTGGTGCTCATTGGACGAGCTGAGCTTGGTCGGGTCAGAGTCAGGGTGCTCGTCTTTGCTGGACGGGGCAGTGAGCGGTACTGGAGGGACGTCCTGGCGTTTGGAGACAGAAACCCGCTTTGGTCGCCGTTTGAGACATCCAGACTTGTCTTGCGTCCTCCTGCACTTGCACATGGCTTAACAGGAATGCCAGATGTTTTTGGAATCTTCCCCACAGCCACCGAGCTGCTGGGGATGGAGCTGATGACTGTACTTGTTGCAGCAGGTGGACTGGAAATGTTTGCACCATTGCTGGAAGTCGTGTGAGGTTTCTTGAAGCCAAAATTCCCACCAGCTGAAGGCCTGACCAATCCCGATGGAGGTTTTCGCTGCTCACCAGCTCCAGTGCCATTTCGATTGTCTTTACCTGCATCGGAGGAGGAGCGCTGAAGGCCCGAGTTCTTCACCGCTAACCGAGACTTGTCCATGGGTTTCCCATCTGACTTCACGGTGCCTACAGGGGAAAACAACTCCGATGAGCTCAAGCAGCATCAAGCAAAGACTGAGCCAAACCACATTAGGGCAGGATATCTAATAGGAACACCTACGAGGTCTGACTGTCTGCTGATTAAAGCCAATCCCCAGCTGGAAGGCCAGACTCACTGTTATCACACTGTTACCACTCTTTTCCACCCCAATGAGCTAAACCAGTTGTCTCTTTCCAGTAAGTGTTTGAACTTTCCAGCAGACGCTTAGTTGGAGATGAGCATAGCTGTGGATTAGCTGTGTTTATGACGGGTCTGTAGGCAAAAATCTGCAAAAAATCCAGAATTTCTCCACTCACTAAGATTCTTTGGACACATGTGTCTTTGGGAAGGAAATTAAGACTATTCCTTTCCTTTCATAACTTTTTCATCTTAAAAATAGTCTAAATTGGATGTTAACAATCTATTAGACACATAAGCCCTATACAATACGCACCACCCACACAAATCTGAACTGCCTGCGCTCATAATTTATATTTAATGGGAGTCATTATGTGAGGTTTATATACAAGACATTAACAGAGTCAAAGAGCTGCTGTTGCTTGAGACCCTCCGGCGTGCTGCCTCGGGACATCTGGAGTTACTTACGAGTATCCAGAAACCCGCAAACGATACATACACACACGTTTGTGCAGACTTTCTCCCACACACTCTCATTGCTCTGGGATCGGACTCCCACTGGAATATGACGCTGACAACACATTACTCCTGGAGTTCTTTAGTCAATTAGAAAATTGAGTTTATTTGTCACATCATAAACTTCTGCAAACACAAAAGTTGCTAATTCCAGGAACGTCTGAGTGCAGAAACATACTGTCGGTGCGGTGAGACATACAGACACAATGCAGACGAGTGTATCAGCTCGGATCCAGATGAAGGCTGATTCACTGACAGCAGCTGTGGAGGCAGCTGAGCTCAAAGTTTGACACCGTGACACATAGAGGAGACTGAATCCCTACTCGTTCTGATTCACGGTGAGCTAAGAATTCATGACATTTTCAGTTTTGAGCAAAGTGGTCTAATAGAGTGTGAGTGTTCTTCTTCCTTTGAGAGAACATTTGTTGTGAAATGATAAATTCAAGTCTTTAGAAAATGCACTGCCTGGTTTTAACTAGGAAATTAGGTACAAGTCTCCTATTAGATAATGGGTGATTATTTTTCAGCTTGCAACAAGTTATTTAACCCCAGCTGGTGCAATAAGTTGCTAATCATTTCTTAAACAACCACGTGGAAAGACACGTCCGGTGGTCAAGGAAAAGATGTTAGTCTAAGAAGAGTCAGATTATTGGCGTGCACCAAGAAGAGAAAACATCTAAGGAGATTGCAGAAATTACTAAAATAGGGTTAAAAACTGTCCAAAGCATTATTAAAAACTGGTCTGATGAGTCCAGATGGACCCTGTTCCAGAGTGATGGGTGCATCAGGGTAAGAAGAGAGGCAGATTAACAGATGCACCCATCATGCCTAGTGCCTAGTGAGCAAGCCTGTGGGGGCAGTGCTATGATCTGGGGTTGTTGCAGTTGGTCAGGTCTTGAAAAATAAAATGCAGCTGCTTCTAAAGCTACATAAAGCCTACATTAAAAATATATTAAAAAAATGTAAAAAAATAAACATGATGTGCAGATAATGGGGCCCTATTTGATTCATCAGAATGTGATGAGGCATTTTGCAGCCTCCAAAATGCCTCCCTGGTGAGGTTTTCTGCGCCAACACATTCGGGACTCCCAATGCTTGGCCACCCAGTGTCAGTTCTCGCCGCTTCGGGTGTGAGAGCGTGTTGTCTGGGCACGTCCTACTGGGAGAAGACCTAAAGACTGAGGCAGGACACACCTGAGGGACTTATGTCTCTAAGCTGGCATGGCAACGCCTTGGGATTCTCCTGGCAGAGCAGGCCCAAGTTGCTGCTGCCCCCGTGACCCGACTCTGGATAAGCAGCTGAAAATGAATGGATGGATGGAAAAAAACTGTAAATGTAAAATAAATGTAACTGTCTGTTATGTGTAGTCAGGTTATTTTAGCCAGTAAAATGATTTATAAAACCCAAGATTTTGGGACAAATTAAATAAGTTGCTTCTTTGGTTTGTCGACTCAAGAGGAAAAGGAGAACTGCATTTTTAAAGAAATGCAATAAAATGTCAGTTTAGTCCACATTTTCCTGTTTTCTAAGTCTCTTCTTGTTGCACATGATACATTTAATCAAGCATAAATGTTGTTAGCAAATTAAATATTTACTTGTTACAGTTGTTTGCTCCTGAATCTCTTTCACACAGTTTCTCCTGAGATACTCAACAAATGAGACACTGACAGAAACAAAGTATTCAGCCAAACGACAGGGATAAACTCAGACATCAGCACTCCACTTCCTGCTCATCTTGATAAACTCAGGAGATCCTGCAAACCGATGAGCAACAAAAAAAAAAACCCAATCTGGCCTCATCTTCTGATTATTCACAGTCTGAAACTGTGTGACAGATTAAGTAGCCATGATGGCAGATTCCCACTGGTGACATTAATAACAATAAAACCCTGGCGCACAGATCACAGGCTGCTCCTGCACACTTGTCTGGTGCATCTATCATCTCAACAGCTGGCAGCACAAACACAGGACAGGCCCACAGAACGGCGGCTGTTTGCACAGACCCCGACTATCTAGACTGGCACACAGCATCGTTACTAATGTCCTGTTGTTTTGCTCGACTGTGTGTGTGTGTGTGTGTGTGTGTGTGTGTGTGTGTGTGTGTGTGTGTGTGTGTGCGTGTGCGTGTGTGTGTGCGTGTGTGTGTGTGTGTGTCTGTCCTTACGTAAACCGCACACAGATGGTGTGCTTAAAAGGCAGCTGCACAATCCCCATCATTGTGTTCTTTGTGTGTGTGTGTGTGTGTGTGTGTGTGTGTGTGTGTGTGTGTGTGTGTGTGTGTGTGTGTGTGTGTGTGTGTGTGTGTGTGTGTGTGTGTGTGTGTGTGTGTGTGTGTGTGTGTGTGTGTGTGTGTGTGAGAGAGAGAGAGAAACTGTTGAGTGTGATGGGTGAAACTTTTCAGTGTGCACAATGTCTGATGGAAACACACACACACACACACATATACACACACACACACACACACACACACACACCGAAAAGCCTTTATTTCAGTGTTATAAATTCTCTTTGTTCAGGACCAAGAATAGATGGCGGAGGACACGAGAAGAGAAAACACACTAGGTCCAGTTTGAGTGTGTGTGTGTGTGTGTGTGTGTGTGTGGTTGGCTGGCAGGAAGGGTGTGGGCGGGGATGGGCATTTGATACATGGCACCACGTTTTAAAAAGCCCAGAGGGTGGGCTGCAGCTGTGGACGAATGCGTCTGACAGAAACAGAGAGAGTGTCTGTAAGTGTGTGGGTGTAGGACGGGAGACTTTAACAGCCAGCTCCAGAAATCCATCAGTCTTTTTAACTTATCCAGTGAAGTCAAGAGGACCTATAAAACACGGCCATCTCTCTGTGGGCGAGTGTGTGTTTGTGTGTTTCACCACTCACCAGCCACTTTCAGCCCACTCTGAGAAGTGTGCGTGATTGGAGACGTGACTCCCACAGGTGGGTTTCTTCCTTTCTTCAGCCCATTCCCCTGACCCAGAGCCTGCGGTTTCTTCAGCTCTCCCTTGCCTGCTTTCCACTTTTTGTCAGATTCAGACTTCAGACTCCCGGTATCATAGGCGCTGCCGCCTTGGCTCTTACAGCCGGGTTTGTTGTCATCAGAGTCCCAGGACAGGCCGCTCTCCACTAAAGATCTCTTCTCTGCATCAGTGCGCATCTACAGAGAGAAAGGCTGACATGAGCTCAGAGATAATATAACCAAAAACATGTTTATTAAATGAAATGTTCTAATCTCAGAACACAAAACTACATTATTCCTTCCCAATCAAACACCAGGGGTGCTTTTTCGAACTTGTTTGGACTTTCTAAGATAACAACAGAAGATGAGACTGAACAAGAAAAACTAGCTCACCCTCTTTACGACAGATAAAAGTCACTAAACATGGATCCATATGCATGTTTATCTGTTTCTCAAACCATCAGTTAAATGCAAGTAAATCAAAACAAAAAGATATTGAAGTATTTCCATTTAGAAACTGAGCAAAACCCAAGGAAATCTGCACAGTTTTGGAGACATTTTATTTGTTTACTTTAGTAAATGAACTGTTTGTCATCAAAACCTCACAAAAAATCTAATTGTCTCACTACAGTTTACAGGTTTCCTCTTCAAAAACATTGATGTTGTTTGCATAAATCTGAGTCCTTACGCTCAAAAATGTGAACTTGACATATTTTGAATGAACACCCAGAACCCAGGCCAAGGAGAAAAGCTGAAGTGTGAAACACTGCACATCGGTGTATTATAGTTGTGTGATGTGAAAGGTGGTCATATTTGGCATATTTGAGAAATCAAAACCTTCAAGCAAAAGATGTTTTATGAGGATTCATTTTAAACATTTGCTTTCTAACAAGGCAGATTTTCTGATGCTTTTTAAGCAAACTGATTAACAAAAATTAGTTCAAAAATAAACTTTAAACTTAAAAGGAATCAAGCCACATGTGCAAGGTCTCAAGGTCCAATTTAAGTGAGACAGGCAGAGGGAATTACCCTCACTGATTTCTCATATTCCTCATCTAAACATTTATCTCTAACAGTAAAAAAAAACTGAAGTAGACTAAATTATCAGAGAAAAAAACAAAACGCTGTACACCACCACATTTTACAACACCAGATGCAGAGCAGGACTCTTGACCAAGAAAGACAGTCTGAACACAATCCAAACAGAGAGAATGTAAAATAAAGAATAAACAAACAAAAGGACTATTGGATCAACAATCAGGTTAGCCAAGATTTCCTTGAACTGGTGTGTAAGCCTGCGTGGGTTTACTGGTTGCACAACGCATGAGAAAAAGAATGACTACGAGGATGTGTCTGTGTTTTGGACTTTGCACCCAGCGATTCTCACGAGGATATTCATGATCTGAATTCTTTTGTAAACTGATAAACACCACAGGCAGGCTCCCTTCACCCGAGTCAGAGGTTTACATGAACACATATATGACTGTTGAAACAGATATGATGAACTACACAGCTGAACTGATAACCTGACAAAGACATGTCTATAAATGCACAAATACTTAAAATCAGATATGAGGAAGTGTAGGAGCTGAAAGCTAAGTAACCCCCCCCCCCCCCCCCTCCCCCCCCAAAAAAAGGAGGTGGAAGATGGATAAAGTGTAAAGTGTAAAGAGAGAAATATCAGCTGAGAATGGATGCAACACAAGGAACCATGTGAGTGTTAGACTTTGTGGGGTGCATGGCGATGCAAGGTTGCCATGGTAATGATGCCAAAAGGGTCTAATGATTGCTATGACTCCTGCGACTAGGCGTAGTGGTAGGTTCTTCAGGCTTCCTGGCCTGGCTGCAGGACTGCAGATGGTTCTATAAGTCCAGGTGTGTGTGTGTGTGAGTGTGTGTGTGTGTGTGTGTGTGTGTGTGTGTGTGTGTGTGTGTGTGTGTGTGTGTGTGTGTGTGTGTGTGTGTGTGTGTGTGTGTGTGTGTGTGTGTGTGTGTGTGTGTGTGTGTGTGTGCAGATTGATGTGCTTTAGAACTGTCCTATAATATGTTGTTAACAGACAAAGCCTCACACTCTCAGCATCCATGTGCTTGGGTTGCTATGGTTACCACGATTCCCTCTCTCTACCTCCCTCTGTCTCACACCATCTCTCTGCTTCCAAAAATCCCACACATACACAGCACAGCAGAGGTGTGCCCTAAATCAGACTACTTTAGGCTAATGTAGCAGATGGATCCTAAAGTGCACCAAGCAGAGCTGTCAACAGGGTGATAGCAATAAAGAGATGATGAACCTAAACCTTCTAATCCCTCACTGACTAGATGTTTCTGAGAACCCAGCATGCAGATAAGACATCAATAGTTTATGAGAATTTTTCTTTTAACTACAGAATCTAAATAATCTGAATCGTGTAAATAAAAAGCAAAAAAATTGCATAATCTATTATTAAAATGAAGTAAAATTATTGTTGAATGATGACTAACACGTATGCTTTGAGTTTCACTTGGTGATAATGTTTAATTATGTCTTGCAACAAAAATGTTTCACTTTAAAACAGCTTCCCGAATCAGGCTTAAAAAAGAGACTTGATTGCAGCTACCCAGCATGCAGTGCAGTTGTTTCAGCCAACACTGATCACTGCAGATGTGATAAATATTACAGTCGTGAGTATAATACTCATTCAGACCACCTTCTGCTGGCTTTTTCCCTTACAGTGTTCAATGCATCATTGATCCTCATCAGGACCTCAGTGGTTTAACACACAATCAATACTAATACTGCAGCCAAGCGTCTGGTGCATCTGTGTCAGAAAGATGTGTGTGTGTATGTGTGTGTGTGAATGCATGCGTGCGTGCGTGTGTGTGTGTGTGTGTCTGTGTGTGTGTGTGTGTTTCTCACCACAGTGGAAGAGTTTCTGCGAGAACCGATGGGAGTGGTGAGGAGGGAGTTGAGAGTGGGGCTCGTGTTGAACTCCTCAGAGCTCAGGTTGTCTGAACCGTCACTCAGCCCACTGCTGATGGAGCTGCTCTCATCCCAACTACAAGAAACACACAGAAAGGACAGAAGTTAAAACTAATCATCCATCAAAGCAACACTTTTCCAAAGTATTCTATGTTGTAATTTGTTTGAGCAAATGAAAAGTATAAATTACCATTAAATCACTCCCACTTTCAAGATCAGGGGGTACATAATGTACAAAAATATTTTGAATTTCTAGGTTACATGAAGACAAGAAAAGAAATTGCAAAAACAAATGCCATGCAAGTGTTTCATTGTTGCACAAAAGCTTTCCCTCATTTTCTGAAGACATAATCCAGAGCAACATTTATACCAAAAGCATGCAACCCATTTACTTCATTTCTTTCATCATCATTTCCCACCAGCGGTTGGCTGGCTTGGCTCCAGTTTGTCTTTTGATGAAATATGCAGAGACCTCATCTGCAACACTCTCTGTTCTAGATACCAAACTTTCATTCAGCATTAACAATCTGTAGCTACTTGGGTGATTTCAACCCACACACATCAAAATAGCACTGATGCATGCACCCACATGAAGCCATGTTCCAGGACTACACAATTTTCCCAGGAGAAATTATTCTGGAGATGATTTCACATAGAGACAGCTGCTGGGTGCTTCTACAGTGGATAGTGATGATGATATATTACAAAATGTTTGTTTTGGATGGTGCAAGTCATCGTTACACAAAAAAGTCATTGCAGTTTTATGCTTCATTAAGTATCCCCACAATACAGTCTAAGAAAACCTGATTCTTCTCAAAATGTTTCATCTAACTGAGTTACTATCTTTTTTCAGTCCCGTAAAACATCATCCAAGTAGAGAAATATTATCTGCCAATTTAGCTTGAATTTTCAATACATCAATTTTCTTTTATGATGTAATTTGGAAGTCAGTTTTGTATTTATCTAAAGTCATTCAATGTGCAAACTGTAAAAGAGGCGTGACAGAAAACAGGATAAATAGAGATGTTAAAGCTGGGACAGTGGCTCATTAGAGTCACCATGGTAACTACTCATTTGAGTCTGAAGCTCTGAATAGCTAGCCTTGTGAACTAGACCAAATGTCTTGCTTTGCAACGGTTGGTCTAGAAACATTCCATTGGAACCTCTGCGGCCTCCTGTCAACATTCTGGTGGGCCAATCACAGCTCTCTGTAGGAGTTTCATACCAACAGAGCACTGTGATTGGTCCACAGTGGTGGGCCAATCACAGCCTTCTTCAACAGCGAACTGTCTCGTTGACCAACATCCGTTGTGGTGAGTATGTCACATTGTTCATTGTCCAGTAACATGCGAAAATCGTTTGAAAGACGACAGTAGAACATGCCGACCGAGAGCCATCAATGGAGCGTTCTCAGAATAAATAATATATTTATTTATTCTGGCTTCCCAGGCTACTGAATAGTTACAAACCAGAAACGAAACCACAAACAAATGGTTGGTTGTGCCAGAACTAAAAATCAGATCAAACCAATTCCTGGAAAATGTATCACACACTTAAAATATTATGTAATTAAGTGATTCATGTAGGCGCTATGACAAGTTAAAATGGGCAAATCAAAAACTGAGAACAGAAGATTAAAGGCTGAATTAAGTGATGAAGTTAAATATTACCCAGAAACCCCAAAACATCCCAGAACATTTCTAACATTCATTGTTTCTCAGGGTGTGAACAGATTCGCTGCAGTGTGTTAAAAACACGTGTCTGATGTCAGAGTTTCATGGGGGTCTTTTGAGTTTATTTTCAGTAGAAAGTGTCCCTGCTGACTGAAATGCATTATTCTTCAACACCTTTCATCAGGCAATCCATTTGGATTGCCCGCTTCCTGACTGCAATAAAATAAACAGTAATCTGACAAATGTGGCTGCAAAAAGGCTGCAGGCATAATTAGAAGAGATGTGTGCTTTGGCTGAACACACGGACTCGTGGGAAGGAAAAAGATGAGAGAAGTGGAGAAAAAAGAAGAAGAGGGATAAAGTTGTGAGGTGAGATTTAAACATGCTTCATTACAGTAAATAGGTCATATTTTGGGAAGCCATGGGGGCTGGGGTTGTCTCTCATTGGGTCGAAGGGCTGGAAGAGCGACGTTGAACTGTATTGTAGAGGAATCTAACGGGGAAGAGCTTGTTTAACGAGGTCATACATAACGGGGCAGAGGAAGCACTGTCAGCCTTCTGGTTGGGTGCCTGTGTGGGTCATACCGTAGCCTTGAGGGGAGTTGATGGCGGTGATTTGAGGGGGTTGGGGACGAAGAGCTAAGGGAATGGCCCCATCTAGCCTGTGGGAATCTGGGAAACCCAACAGAATCCAATAAGACATCTGAGATTGTTGTCCGTCATCACTGCTCTTTCTACACACCAAACTCAGCCTGAGGTCAAATATGAGAAACACAAAGAGCTGAGCTACACAGCTAAACTGTAATAAACTGTAATAAATAAAGATTTTGTGGTATTTACATTTTAGTAGATTTATTTTTATTCACTCAGTGATAGGTCATTAAATTAATGAGACATTTTACAATTTAAAGACTCGTATTCGACCTTTAACATTTCTCTATGAAGATTATAGTTTTCCATTTGAGCTCATTTTAAATTCCTGTTTCCCTTAAATTGGATTTTTTTAACACCTGTTTTTTTCAATGCATCACTTTTTTTTTACTGGTTCCACTCACAGCTGGGGGACTTCTTTTGTTATCTGAGTCTTCTTCATATCCTGTTTAAGGCCTCAAAGCTATCTGCGTGTCCACCAGCTCTTTGAATGCTTGGTAACTCTGTTGAATTATTCAGTTCTGATAGGCAATAGAACAGACAGCCTCTCAGCTGGGTCAGATCTGACAGATGTGAAAACAGGAAGCACAGAAAACAGAAGCAATAGTCAAACATAATAAGGGAATACCTGAAAATGTACAAAAGATGAACAAACAGGCAAAAAAAATTAGACCAAAGGTCCAAACAAGTTTTTTCTAAGTAAAAATCCTCCATGCATTTGAATAATTGTTTTTTAAAATTATTTTCTGTCATCTTTCTTTTGCTCAGTGCAGAAACTTTATTCCTTGGTCATGAGGCGAACTGCCAATATGATGATCTCAAAACGTTATAATCACCCTCCCAAGCTCCTCAAATCCCCCACTGTAGAAGTCCTTCTCCAAAACCTCTTTAAAAAACCCTTAGACAGAATCTGCTGAAGATCTTAAGCCTCTTACACTTTTTGTGAATCTGCCCAAGTCTTTTAAAAGTGTCTTGGCTAAGACAACGTCTCCCTCAAAACCCTGATTTATTCTGTTAATGTGGAACAGGGTAGTGGTTGAATGGACAAAAGGAAGGCTGAGTTTGAAAAGAGGTCGATGAAAAACGCAGATACTCAAATGAAGTGATAAGAAAAGAGAGCATATAGGAGTGAACTGAGAAGTAAAGATCTTTAGATCATATGATTAAAACTGTGCATGAAAGTCACAGAGCTGAAGGGAGGAGACACAAAAATGATATCCTGAATCCTGTGAGCCAAAAGGATATCAATGCTGATTTGATTTAGGCTGCAATACTTGTCAATTACATTGAAGTGTATGTAACAAGGCCCATTCTTCACCTCCACCTGACATAGCAGCGTGTGCACAACAGCCTCCCACTGATCAGAGAGTGTGCCATGCAGAGCCATCTGCACACAAGTGGCTGCCTGCTAATGCAGCACCTATGAAAGCCACTGAGCTGTGCATCACTGACAGATTGTTTCAGGTTGGCTATGGTTTAAATAATTATCTTTTACTTGCAGAATAAACGGTTGTTAGGGTCAACCTAAACCTTTTATTTCTTTACAGAAACACGATTTCTTTGTTCGTCATGCAGTGCACAGAGGACCAGGCAGCCACACCCACACAAACACTCAGCTTTACAGGCTTTCAAGAGAAAGTAGCCGCCGCTGTGCTGAAGAGCTGTCGTTTCTTAAGAGGCTTCTGTGTTCTGTGGAGATTATTGCTCAGATCTGAGGGGAAGTGGTCTCTTTTTCTGCTCATTATGAGATCCGTCTTCTTTATGGTGTTGAGTACAATTGATCCAAAAGGAGGAAAAAACCCACAGTGGGAAAACAAAGCGTATGTGGCTTGTTGGGTCAGTTTTGTGCATATGGGAGAAAAGAAAGAGAAATTTGATCACCTGCAACAACAGAAATACCCACAGTGGCTGATTAGAATGCACCTAAACTAACAATGGTTAGAAAGTGAGTAGGAGCTGTTTGGAGGAATGTAAAGCTTCTGCAGGTAAAAGGTGCTTATAGATGTGGTTTTAAAAATCTCCACACACAAACAAAGGTGTTCAGTCCACTAAAGCACCCTAATCCAGTCCCCTTGCACTAAGTTTAAATCATCTCAGCTGATTTTTTATCCCTTCACCTATACCATAACCCTTTAATCAGATTCAACCTTTGATGTGAAAATTGAGGGTTTACTTGCAAATCTCACTTTTTATCACTATATCCCTGAAAAATGGAGTCTTGATAGGTTTTAATTTTCATTACTGTGATAAAAAAGGAACATTAAAGCAGGTGATCTCCAGACTTATCTAGAAATTATCAGAAATGCTAAAAGCTGCTATGATGGGCTAGCACGAATGCTAATGCAATGCTACTAAATTGAGATTTCAGTCAAACCTGCCAAACCACGAGTTCTGATAAGAACTTGAAGGTCTGTTGGAGAACAAACACAATAATACAGAAGCAGAGAGGCTCCAGATCAGGTTAAATGTAGCAGATAATGACAAAAAGACTGATTCTCTTGTTCCCTTGTGGGATTAAACACGTCTTTTCCAGGGTGATACCTGGACACAGCTTTTCCAACTCGCTTAAACTCATGGAATCTTTGCAGAACTGGAGAGCAGGAACTTTCCATCCATATTAAATACACAGTGTCACATGGCAGAGCCCAAAATGGCTAAATTAGACATGATGCCTTTGTAGGCAAATGGAAACTAGGGCAAAACTAGACCGGTGCAGGAAAATCCATTAAAATGCATTGGGGCACATGTGATA